AAGCTGCGATTATTTTAATCGCGGCTTCATTTCCCTCTTCCAATCTGGCTAATCTACATGCCTCCGTCGAAGGAGGCATGTAGTCTAGACACACCCTATGATGGGTTCCCTGGGGAGATGGTGGAAGGAGTTGGTCCTGCTTTGATCCGTGGGTTGGATGAAATGACCTCCTGAGGTCTCTTTCAGCCATAATCTATGATTCCAGCCAGCTCTACTCATCAATGCTTCTTACATCCTCTATCATAGAATCATAGGACTGGAAGGTATCTCAAGAGGTCATCTGGTCCAGTTCCCTGCACTCACGGCAGAATTAAGTGTTATCTAGAGACTCCCTGATCCTGACACATGGTATTGTTAGCCTGTCTGCGGTCTTGCATAGCTTTCCTGGTCTCATGGAAGCTTGTAAGCTTCTCTCAGCAGAGAGTGCTGCTGTTTGTAAAGCATATTACAAACTCGTGGCACAGATTAGTTGACAATAATGATTCTGTCTTTAGACAGTTAGTGGTTCAACAACCTGCATGGTAGCGGTACGGATGGTATGGTCTGTGTTCACGGTCAGAGAGCACCCCCCGTTTGTGCACGAGCATTTGTGGTTCTTCTTCGAGTAGTGTCCCTGTGGGTGCTCCACTGTAGGTGAAGGGTCACCCTGAGCCTCAGATCGGAGCTTTCTATAGCAGTTTCCCCTGTTGAGCCACGCATGCCCAGGAGGCGTCTCGAGCCCTTCCCGCCTCCTGAGGAGCGTGACTCAACCCCCTCCCTTTCAGTTCCTCTTCAACCGCCCTCGCCTGCGGACGGAGCAAACAGGAGCTCCCTGTCAGACTCTCTGACTACCTTTTTTCTCCCTAGTTTAGTTATAGTTCTTTCCCCTGATATCCAAGTTACCTTCCCTGTTTCTTTTTAAAAGAAGAAAAAGAATTTTTAGTAATAAGGGAAATACACTTACCTAACCCCCCCCTCCCCCCTCGGGGGGGCTTGAATCACCTCAGACCGGGTCTCAGAGATACCGGAGTTTTCACAGCTCTTTAACACTAAAATAAATACAAAAAAAAAAAAAAAAAGCTTAAAGAGGAGAGAACCGGACATGTCCGCCTCCTCAGGCTTTAAGAAGTGCGACCAATGCCGGGACCCTATGCCGGCTTCGGATGGTCATTCAAAATGCATTCGCTGTTTGGGGGAATCTCACTCTCCCCACAGCTGCACTCATTGTAACTCACTCACGGCGAGAGCCAGGAAAGACCGTGAGCTCCGCCTAAGAATGATCCTATTCGAAAAAGCCTTGCAGCCCGCAGAACAAGCGGGAACGCGCCAAGAGCCTCCCCCTCTCTCCAGAAGCGAGCCAAGGGGTAAACCCTAACCATCCCGCTCCTTACCAGCCTCCTCCTCTCCTAAACATGGAGGAGAGGCACACCAGACCGGGAGGACGCCCGCCACAAAGGCTTCGGGGCGATCCTTCCACTCCGCACCGGCATCGGGGCACGCCACTGCTGAGCGGCCCCGGGAGCGGTCA